GGGAGACACACACACACACACACACACACACACACACACACACACACACGTAAATAACCAAGACAGCCCACACACACACACACACACACACACACACACACACACACACACACACACGTAAATAACCAAGACAGCCCAACTGAATGACTTGATATTCATGTCCTATACAAAGTCGTATTCTGTTTTCGATACACTTTCAGTGTAGCTTCCCTAAAATGTATATACAAGTACAGTACAGAATCTTCAAAAGGATCATTGTCTTCAAAACTAATTCTTCTGCTTTCTTTTAGCTTCTTAGAAACCTTTAGGTCAGGGATAGTCTTTATTCATAGTGTCCAGCTGGTAGTGACAAGGGATCCAACTCAAAGGGGCTTGGTAGGACTAGATTTAGGAAGTAGTAACACTTTGTAGATGAGGTATCTAGGTTAGCTACTTGATGTTTCAGTTTTGTTTTGTTTTGCTTTGTTTTTTAACTTAACAAAATCAAATGCTTTCAAACAGGGCTCGACTCTTAATTGTAATGGAGATGATGGAAGGGGGAGAGCTATTTCACAGAATCAGCCAGCACCGGCACTTTACAGAGAAGCAAGCCAGCCAAGTAACAAAGCAGGCAAGTTAACCCCGGGTACCAATCAAACTGCCAACAGTGTTGGTTAACAAGCACAATTTCATTGAGGGGAATAAAAGAAAGCTTGAAGAAAAGCTCTATTTGATCTCTCATTGCCTGCTTTGTTATGTAATTAGAAAAGATGCCTTGACAGGAGGAATGTGACCCCCTTTTATGCTTTGGTGGGGGGAACCTGTATTCTTAAGTGGTTTTCAATTGTTTGCCTATGATAAGATTTAAATAAACTCTGGAAGGAAGGTAATCTTAACTCCTTTTTAGATTGTAGATAATCTTTAGACGTATAGCTTCCAAGCACTGTTATTGGACTTTGAGATAAAATGCTAGTGATACTACCTGAAAGACTGTATGGTGTAAAAATATGTTCTAAGGCAATTACATATAAGATACTTTTTGCTTATGAGTCACCTTTCTCTCATCAGATTTTAATAGTAGTCTAAGGTCTTTGTAATTCTGGGTTATTCCTGGTTTTATGTTCTCTCTATTTTGACATCACATTTTATTGCTAGAGGAATGATGTACGTCACAAACAATACTAGGAATCCAGCTGGAAATAACCTCATGAGGAGATGAAAAAGCTAAACCCTCAAGGTTTCTCTTCAGGCCAAGCAAGCAAAGCAGAGAGAAGCAGGACACGTAGCCCAACTGGTTCTTAATGAAAAAATTCTTCCAAATTTTCTGTGAGCCTCAAGCATTTTTTTTTTTTTTTTTTTTTTTTTGGTACGCGGGCCTCCCCCTGCTGTGGCGTGTCCTGCAGCGGAGCACAGGCTCCAGACCCGCAGGCTCAGTGGCCATGGCTCACGGGCCCAGCCGCTCCGCGGCATGTGGGATCCTCCCGGACCGGGGCACGAACCCGCGTCCCCTGCATTGGCAGGCAGACTCTCAACCTCTGCGCCACCAGGGAAGCCCAACCTCAAGCATTTTTTGATGCCTCCTTTCTGGTAGGGTGGAACTGATATTTGGAATGCCAAGGCAATTCCATACAGAGTGTTAAAGAACAGATAAACTCTGTTCTATTTGATTTTAAAAATTATAGCTTGTATTTTTCAAATATTAGGCCTAAAGGATGAGCTCTGATAATCTTCTGTAAAACCAAACTCCTTTAAATCCACCTTAAACAGGCAACATTTTCAACCAGTGGGACGGGCAGATTAGAACATCAGGTGGAAAAATCCATTCAGCTGCTTTCTGTTGTTCTTGAAAGCAGAACTTCAAGTTGGCCCTCTGAAGAGTGCAGGTTTCCTTTGAGTCAGGCGTTAGTGCCGCTGCCCTGCTAGGGGGAAGCCAGGCCCTCTGAAGACTGCCTGGCCCAGTGTTTGCTTTGCAGTACTTGTCACATCTCAGATTAATGGAAGTGCAAGTATTTCATTTTTCCCATTTCATACAGGATTTAACCATCAGTTGATTATGACAAAGAATTGTTTTACTGTTGTATTTTTTCTTTTTGTTGAACAAAATACAGCTTAATTCATTTCTATTTCTTGATATCTGAAATCTTACTTAATTTCTGCTTTAAAATTGAAAACTGACCACAGTCTTAATTGACTTAGTAAGGATCATTTTTTAACATCCTGAGTTCTCTAAACCAGGGGAATTAAAGAGCTATCTTTTCTAAGATATGGTTGCTCCATTATGTCCTTTCCAGATAGCTTTGGCTCTACAGCACTGTCACTTGTTAAACATCGCACACAGAGACCTCAAGCCTGAAAATCTGCTCTTCAAGGATAACTCTTTGGTGAGATGACTTGCCCTTCTGTATTTTAGTGCTGCTACTCTGAGTATAGTTCAGGAACAGTGTGTAGGTGTGTATATGTTTGGAGTGCTCTGAATCCATGGTGAAGAGGCTTTAGGCCAAAGTGCTGCAATCAGCTTACTTTTCCCATATCTGTTTCCTTGCTAGAGGCTCAGAGAAATTGTACCATACCCCTGGCATCGATCATTTTGGATGACACTGATGTGTGTTTGTACATAAGGACTTTAGATTTTGGATATTATTTGGAATGACTTTGGGAAGGGGCAGGAATCTATATGCTGTTATATGTTACCTTGGAACTTAATGGTTGTGTTTAGTGTTAACCCTCATAAGGTGTGTTTTCCTCTCCAGCCCCAATCCATGCCCCATGCACTGTGTCCCACCAGATAACTTACTCTGGCTATCATGAAGCTGATGTTGAGGGTGAAGCAGCACCCTAGATTGATGAGAGATAATGGGCCAATAGAGTCAGGAAGCATCTTGATTTTAGTGCTGCCTTTACAAGTTATAAAACAGGGATGATTGTGAGTGGGTAGAAATTCCTTACTTCTGTATTACTAAGAACAGTTTCTAAATATGAATCATTGTCTCCAGAGCTGAGGACATGCTACTCATAGGTTCAGGTCTCAGCTAGAAACTCCTGAGAGCTTAAGGTAACATGTCTTGCACCTGCATTTTCCTTTAACGTTTTCCGAGAACTCTGGAGCAGTGACTCCCATTTGTTTTATTTCAGGATGCTCCAGTGAAGTTGTGTGACTTTGGATTTGCCAAAATTGACCAAGGTGACTTGATGACACCTCAGTTCACCCCATATTATGTAGCACCTCAGGTAAGCATGTGCTGTTTCTTCCGTAGGATGTGTCACCAAGCTGCCTGTAGACTCACGTTTCTTCCATTCCACAGCATGAGTGGGTATATATTACAAATGGAAGAAGGAGGACTCAGCTTCATAAACCTATAGGCTGCTTAATTTGGTGCAGGCATTTTATTCTTTTAAAAGCAGCCTTATTGAGGTATGATTAATATACAATAAAATACTTCTACATTAAGTGTAGTTTGATGAGTTTTGACAAATGGATACTCCTGCATGAACATCACCAAAGTCAAGATGCAAAACATTTCCATCACTTCAAAAACTGTCTTGTGTGCCTTTGCAGTCATTCTGCTCCCAACTTAATCCCCTTAATTAAAACCACTGATCTACTTTCTGTCATTATTGGTTAGTTTTGCCTGTTGTAGAATTTCATAAAAATGGAATTCTGTACCTTTTGTGTTTCACTTCTTTGGCTCAGCATGTTTTTCAGATCCATCCATGTTTCTGTATGTATCAGTAATTAGTTCCTTTTTATTGCTAAGTAGTATTCCATCATATGACCAAGCCACATTTGTTTATCCATTCACTGACTGATGGCCATTTGGGATTGTTTCCTATTTTTCACCATTAGGAATAAAGTTGCTAGGAACATTCATTTACGAGTTTTGGGGGACATACCCCTCCCCTTTAGGTAAAATCTTTTTCCAAAATGGTTGTATGCACCACTAATGTAAATGTTCCAGTTTCTTCACATTCTTACCACCAACTCATGTTTGTTAGTGTTTATAATCTTGGTTATTCTGGTAGGTATGTTCGTGTTATTTCGTTATGGATTTAATTATAGCATTTTCCTGATGGCTACTGTTGTTGAGTATTTTTTCATGTGTCTACTGGCTGTTCTATTGTGAAATATGGGTACAACATTCTGTTGTGTAGTATGGGTACAAATCTTTTGCCCTTTTTGTGTTGTTTTATAAATGAGATATAAGAATTTTTTTAATTATATTCTGGATACAAGTTCTTTGTCATATATATGTATTAATATTTTACTGCTGCTGTAACAAATTGCCACAAACTTAGTAACTTAAAACAGCACACATTTATTACCTTACAGTTTTGGAGGTCAGAAGTCTGAAATGGTTCAGGATGTCAGCAGGACTGTGTTCCTTTTGGAGGCTCTAGGGGAGAATCCATTCCCGTGCCTTTTCAGCTTCTGAGGCCACCTGCATTCTTTGGCTTGTGGCCTCTTTTTTTTTTGCGGTACGCGGGCCTCTCACTGCTGTGGCGTCTCCCATTGCGGAGCACAGGCTCTGGACGCGCAGGCTCAGCGGTCATGGCTCACGGGCCCAGCTGCTCCGCGGCACGCGGCATTCCCCCAGACCGGGGCACGAACCCGTGTCCCCTGCATTGGCAGGCGGACTCTCAACCACTGCGCCACCAGGGAAGCCCTGACTTGTGGCCTCTTCCTCCATTTTCAAAGACAGCAGTGTAGGTAGCATCTTCCAGTCTCTCTGACTCTGACCGAGGATAATTGGTCAGATTATCCTGGGTAATCCAGGATAATCCCCCATCTCAAGATCCTTAATTTAATCAAATCTTAGAAGTCCCTTTTGCTGTGTAAGGTAACATATTCATAGATTCCAGGGATTAGGACAGGACTTCTTTGGGAGGCCATTATCCTGCCTACAACATATGTATTATGAATATTTCTCTCAGTCTGTGGCTTGCATTTCAGTTTTCTTTTTTTGGCCGTGCCACATGGCATGTGGGATCTTAGTTCCCTGATCAGGGATCGAACCCATGCCCCCTGCATTGGAAGCACAGAGTCTTAGCCACTGGACCGCCAGGGAAGTCCCCATCAGTTTTCTTAATGATCTTTTGAATAGTAGAAGTTTTAAATATTGATCAAGTCCAATTCACCAATTTTTTTTTTCAATGGTTAGTGCTGTTTGTTCCTAAGAAGTCTTTCCATATCCATGGAGATGAAGATTTTCTCATGTTTTCTTATTAAAGGTTATAGTTTTAGCTTTTACATTTTAGACTGTGATCCATTTGAGGTGTGTGTGTGTGTGTGTGTGTGTGTGTGTGTGTGTGTGTGTATGTGTATATGTGTATAAAGGGTCAAGCTTCTTTTTTTCCCTTATGGATGTCGTTGTTTCCATATCACTTGTTGAAAAGACTATCCTTGCCTCATTGAATTACCTTACAGTTTTGTCGAACTGAATTATTTTGCAGTTTTGTCGAAAATCAATTGACCATATATGTGTTGGTCTATTCTAGGCTCTATTCTGTTTATTTGATACATACGTCTATATATCATCTGGATCACTGTAGCTTTATATTAAGTCTTGACCTATATTAAGTCTTGACCTCAGATAGTGTAATAAGTCCTTCAAATGTATTCTTTTTCAAAATTGTTTTCACTATTCTGGATCCTTTGCATTTCTCTGTAAATTTTAGAATTCAATTCTCTATGACAGAAAAGCCTCCTGGGATTTGATTTGAATTGTATTTAATCTATAGATGAATTTGGAGAGAATTGACATCTTAACAATATAAAGTCTTCTATTTAATGAACGTGGTATATCTTTTTTTTTTTTTTTTTTTTTTATGCGGGCCTCTCACTGTTGTGGCCTCTCCCGTTGCGGAGCACAGGCTCCGGACGTGCAGGCTCAGCGGCCATGTCTCATGGGCCCAGCCGCTCCGCGGCATGTGGGATCCTCTCAGACCGGGGCACGAACCCGTGTCCCCTGCATCGGCAGGCGGACTCTCAACCACTGTGCCACCAGGGAAGCCCAAACGGTATATCTTTCCATTTATTTAGGTCTTTCATTTTTCTCAGAAACATTTATTTCTTAGTGTATAGGTTTTATACCTATTTTCTTAAATTTTTTCCTATATTTTATGTTTATGGAAATTATTGGAAATGATATTTTTAAAAATTTCATTTTCCAATTGTTTGTTTATAGTTTGTAGAGAAATAAATGATTTTTGATCCCTTGAATCCTGGGATCTTGCCTAAATCGCTTATTAATTCTAGTAGATTTTTTTAATAGATTTGTTAAGATTTTCTGCATACAAAGTCATGTCATCTGTGAATAAAGATAGTTTTACTTTGTTCTTTCCAGTATGTTTGCCTTTTATTTCTTTTCCTTCCCTTATTGTGTTGGCTAGAACTACCAGTTGAATTTAAGTGATGAGAGCAGACATCCTTGCCTTGTTCCTGATCTTACAGAAAAAATGTTCAGTCTTTCACCATTAAGTATGATATTAACTGTTATGTTTTTTGTAGATGTCCTTTATCAGGTTGAGGAAGTTTCCTTCTGTTCCTAGTTTACTGAAAGGGAATGTGTTAAATTTTACCCAATGCTTTTTCTGCATCTATTGAACTGATGATATATTTTTTCTTCTTTATTTCGTTAATATGATGAATTAATTGATTTTCAGGCATTATACCAATCTTACATTCCTAAGATAAAACTCAGTCATGATGATTGATTTGTTTTGCTAATATTTTGTTAAGGATTTTGTGTTTTTTAACAAAAGGGATATTGGTCCATAATCCTTTCTCATAATGTCTTTGCCTTGTTTCAAGGTATCAGGGTAATAATGCTGACATCATACTATTAGTTGGGAAATGTGTCTTCCTCCTTTATTTTCTGAAACAGTTTATGTAAGATTGGTATTTTGGAGTTTTCATTGTGGATTTTTAATGATGTAATCAATTTAAAAATAGGTATAGGTCTATTGAATTTTTATATTTCTTCTTGAGCCAGTTTTAGTAATTTGTGTCTTTAAGAAATTTGACTGTTTTTTAATTTATTGGCATAAAATTATGATAATCCCTTATTAACCTTTTAAATCTTTGTAGGATCTGTAGAGATGGAGGTGGAAGTCTGGAAGTTGGCTTGCTGCTTCTGCAGTTAGTCCTCTAGTATGGGAGTAGGGAATTGAGTCAGTCTACTTAGGAGTTGAGCTTAGTGTGAGCTCTGTTGTTGCTATTGTTATTTTTACTGTGTCACTGGCTTGAGATTCCTCTCTTGTTACCTTGTGCTTAGGGTGGGGTTTGGGGTGCCACAGGTTTGTGTGTTTTTTTGTGTTTCTTCTCCATCTTTATCTTTGGCATTGGCTGTGTGCCTCAGCCTCAGAGGGGCTTTTGCTTCACAGTCTTTTTCTGCCACTAACAGTGGACTGCTGTTACTTATTACTTGGTGCTTGCTAGCCTGATGGAGGGTGATGGCAACGATGGGTGGAGAGGTATCTCTTTTCTGAACCAGCCTCAGCCTTGGTCAGGTCCTGTTTTCTTGAGTCTCAAGAGCAGAAGAGCATGTGAGTGGGTGCGAATGCCCCTTGTTTCCATGGCTCCTAATGGGTCTGCTAGCCCCAACTTTGCCTTTAGCAATTTGTTAAAAATTTAGCCAAATTCTTTTTATGCTTATGGCATGCTATAATGCTTTCTCCTGGGCTCTGTCACAGATGAGCCAGTCTTTATGTGTTGTCTCTTCTTGGAAGGGACAAGAATACTTTGTTGCTTTGAGACCTCTGATAAGTTCAAGAAAAGTGATGATTTTATAGTTTATCTGGATTTTTCTTGCTGTTAGGGTGAGAGTGACACCCTTTCCAGCTCTCTACATCCTAGACAGAAACAGCAGTCCCAGCCGTTTGATTATAGTATGGGTGTTTGTTTTTCCTGCTAGGGGTTTATTGAGCTCCTTGGATCTGTCAGTTTATGGTGTTTACCAATTTAGGAAAATTTTCAGACATTTATTCAAATATTTTTGTGCTTGTTCTCTCTGTGCCATTTTAACGAGACTCCAGTTATATGTATGTTAGATCACACACTGAGCATTGAGGTTCTGATCTTTTTTTTTTTTCCTTCATTTTGTTTTGATATCTGTGCTCCACTTTGGCTAGATTCTATTGCTAGGTCTTCAATTTCACGACTCTTCTGCATTGTCTAATCTGTGAATTTCCTCACTTCAGATTTATATAATCTGTTTCTCTTCTCATTTTGT